CGAAATTGAGTTTGTTGAAACACACAACCAATTAGCCGACATTTTCACAAAACCTTTAGAGAAAGAATCGTTCTTCCGCATTCGTAGTGAACTCGGAATCCTTGACTCCACGATGATCTAATTTGTGCATTTTATCACTTCTTTTTCTTTGCTTGACCGTTTATTAACTTGAGCGTCGGAGGGTTTTCTAACTCTTTTTTGCAGGAACGGTTCGAAGTGAAGAATTCTGGAAATCAGGGGGAACCAGCGATGGGTGCGTTATACCATCGCTGGGAGGGAAGTCTTCACTTTTCCAGGACCCCTCTTCCCATCGATGGGTGCTTCTCCCCATCGATGGGTAATTGACTCTCTTTTTTTAAAACTTTTAACGGATTTCCAGAAACACCTTACCCATCGATGGGTATTTCATCCCATCGCTGGGTGTTTGACACTAATTTTAAATTTTTTTTTTAATCGGATTCCCAAAATCACCAACCCAGCGATGGGATGGTATTAACATCGCTGGGAAGGCTTTCGTCCTTTATCCTTCACTTTCCAAAACACACCTTCCCATCGATGGGAGTGTCCACACATCGCTGGGAAGGCAATCTGATTTTCTCCTTCGCTTTCCAGTAGCGACCCTCCCATCGATGGGTAGTTCCTACCATCGCTGGGAAGGCTGTTGAAATTCAAAAATTATGGCCGTTGGGCACCGAATTTAATGCCCAACAGCCATATTTTTTGAATTCACACGTCTTTTTCCTCCTCTCCCTATATATTCACATCATCCCTTACCTTCTTAACACACAATTAACATCATTATTTCATTTCTTTAGCCTATACCACTTATTTCTTCAATCTTTCTTAAAAAACGCCTCAATCATGGCCGGAGGAAGATCAAAGTCTAAGGCTTCCAAGAAGAAAAGCACCGCCGAACCCTCAAGCTCCGCGCCTCCTCCGTTCCCATATTTGGACGGATCATTTCTTGAGTTCGGGTCGGAGGAAGAACTAACACGCTTCCTTACTCACTTTGCCAAGCGCCCGATCTCTCCACCTCGCGTGCTCCCGGAGTTGTTTCCCCAAGACAAAGGGTACCACGACCTCGACAACCAACTCCAAGCGTCGGGTTTGTGGCCATTCGTCTCCAAGAGCCGCTCGAGCTTCAATCCCGCCTTCATCCGGGCTTTCTACTCCAATCTCCGCCGTGACGGGGACACCATTCGCAGCAGCATCAATCTCTACGACATAGAGATTGATTTGGCTACCTTTGCTCGGGTCGCAGGGCTGCCCATCCGCGGTGAGGACATCGCAACATATGGCGGCGATGATTGGATCCTCAACAACGAGGCGGTGGTCATCCGAGAGCTTGGGATCACCAACCTCATCCGCCACAGCGGCGAACCGACGATTCACTCGGCCCCACCGGACAAGCGCCTCCTCCTCTACATCATCACCCGGATTCTCCACCCCCGGGACAGCAGCCATACCTCGCTCTTCAACGAGGACTTGAAGGCGATTCATGCCATCATCCACGGCGCCTCCATCAATTGGGCGAAATTCGTGATGATCCACATGGCGGATTGCGCCTCCATCGCCACTGAGCGGAGCTTGCCATACGCCTTCCTCGTCATGGACCTCATCAGCTCCGCCGACATCTCCATCGTCGGCCCGGATACGAAGATGACAAAGATTTGGATAATTCAAGACAGCACCTTCCGGAAGAAGTCCGGAGACCGGGACAGCACAGGCCCAAGTCGTGCACCAGCCCCCGCTCCCGCCAAGGCCTCTTTGCAATCCATAGCCGATACTCTGAATCGGCTAACCCTCACAGTGGATGGCATGGGGCAGTCAATCGAGCGGATGGACTGGACGCTGCAACGCCAACACCACGACATGACGACATTCTTTCGCGGAATCAACTACGTCCCGCCGCCCTTTGACAGCACCTTCCTCGGCCAAAACTATGAAGGCGAGGACGAGGAGGATAACTCCTATGCTCCATCCTCCTCCCCCGACGAGGCCGACTTTGAAGATGCGGTCGACGGCGATCCCATGGACGTCGAGGACGACGAGGATGACGACGAGGATGCCGATGCTTAGACTTTTCTTTTCTCCTCTTACTATGATTGTATTTTTTTATTTCCATTCCGTTGTATTCCGCATTTCCCTTCTTTTCATGAATAAAAGTTTACTTTTACAGTTCTAAAGTTTACTTTTAATTCTTTTTGTTAATGTCAAAAGGGGGAAGATATTGAGGTTATGCATAAATTGAGGGGGAATTTTTTTTACTTTGTAAAATGGCATCTATTAAGGGGGAACATTGTTTTTTTTCAAAATAATCCTCCTATGCATAACCTCGTCTCGTTTGCCATAATCAAAAAGGGGGAAATTGTTGAAACACGGGCTTGTCACGTTTTCGTACTAAAGCCGTGTTCGTTCTTGTAACAGGGTTTTGATAATGCCAAACCGCCATGATCAAGTCGAACATTGAATATACAAGGCGAAGAACGAAGATAAGAGCAAGAGCTAAACGAAGACCAAGAACGAAGACCTTAATCATAGTATTGAGTCGGTCTTTATTGTGATCAAGACTGACCCAATCTTTACACCTTGGCTCTTTAGGCTAAAATCTCTCATTGCATTTCTTACATCATAAAAATGTTTTTCAAACTTGTTTAAGTCATTAAAAACACTTGGTGTTCGCCCAAACCAAAAACCAAGCCATCCAGTGTTCGGCTTTCGGTTGTCGGGTTTGGTTTTTGGCATCCGAACCAACCAAGTGGTTTTTAGCATTTTATGATCTGCTTTAACTCTTTGGCATGTTTAAACGGTTCTCCAACAAAAACACTTTGAAAACCATCTCTCGTTTTTAGTCGTTTGACAAAAACCACGCAAAACGGCGTAAACTTGGCTAGCCGTGGTTTTTAATCAAATCAAGTGATTTTTAAAGTGTCTCACTTGATTTCTTAGCCAAATACATCAAATAAGTGTTTTAAACACTTGGTTTTTATTTTGGAGAACCTTGGTTTTTTCGGTCGGTTTTTGCATCGGTTGGCTAGGCCGTGGTTAAGGCAAAAACCACAGGTTTTTGGCTAACCACCCACCCAGCGATGGGAAGAACATCCCATCGATGGGTAAGTAGCCCCTTAGCCAAACCAACTTCTAGAACCATGCCAAACAGCGATGGGAAGCTCTACCCATCGCTGTTCAAGCCTTGGTCCAACATTATCACAAGGCAGAATGCCCTTACCCAGCAATGGGAAGCTTTACCCATCGATGGGAACCCAGCGATGGGAAGGCTAAACCATCGATGGGAAGGCATGACCGTTGAAAGTCATTTAAGGTTGATTCTTTCTTTGTTTGGAAGTCAACCTCCCACCCAGCGATGGGAAGCTTGTACCCATCGATGGGTAGATAACCGTTGGCTTCAAAAACTGAAGGAAAATTGGCTTACCAGCGATGGGTAAGTTCCAAACATCGATGGGAAGCTAATATCCTGCAGATCCCAAATTTATTCAATCCCTTAAATCAAGCCAATCACCCCTTTAATGCATTGGTCCGTTGGAGCCTTTTTTGGCACTATAAAAAGGGGTGTTTGGGTCTGCTTTTCTCATCAATTCACTTCACAATATTCATATCATCATTGCATTAAAACAACATCATTTTTCATAGCTTTCAAGAGCCAATTTGTGATGTTTGAGTTGTTCTTGAGTGTACTTAGTTTACTCATAATCTACTCTATAAGAGAGCCTCGTTCTTGAGTGTATTCATGTTCTTAGACACTTTGAGAGAAAGTATTTCTCTCAGTAGATTCAAAGGAAGGGCTGTTTCCTTTGAAGGACTCGTTGAGGTTCGTGTAACTCGAACTCTCAAGTTGTAACGGTTTGTTAAGCACCCGCAAGCTTAACGCGATAGTAGTGTAGCTCGAGAGAGTCTCTCGGGAGGCTGGATTAGCCACAAGTTGTGGTGAACCAGGGTAAAATTCGGTGTGCCTCTTACTCTTCTCTTTACTTCTCTTTTAAGTTTATAATTCCTGCGATTTCTACGATCAAACGCTATTCACCCCCCCTCTAGCGTTGGTCTTTTATTCTAACAAAAACTAAGTCCGATATATATTGGACCCTATCGAATCACTGAACGTGTGGGTCCAGTAGAATATCAGTTAGAACTTCCACCAGAATTGAACAAGATCCATGACGTATTTCATGTATCGATGTTGAAAAGATACCGTTCCGATCCATCGCATATCTTGACTGAGGGAATTGTAACTCTTGACGAACAATTGACTTATGAAGAGGAACCTGTACAAATTTTAGCACGAGAGGTCAAACAATTGAGAAACAAATCTGTACCCTTAGTCAAAGTGCTATGGAGGAATCACTCGACTGAAGAGGCAACATGGGAAACCGAAGAGTCAATGAGGATGCAATATCCGAATCTCTTCAACCAATGACTCAGGTAATTTCGAGGACGAAATTATTTTAAGGGGGAGAGAAATGTAACACCCCAAAAATAGGCCTATCAGAGTTAATTAATTTATAATTAATTAATTATTGAGAAGGACCCAAAAATAAATAAATTCTAAAGTTTGTCAATAAATAATGAAAATCATATCATTATGTAGAGTTTGACTGTCTGACCCCAACGGTTCAAT